ACCAATGAGCCACTTGGCCGGCCTGAAACCATGGTTTCTTAACTCCCTACCCAAAGCATGTATTCAGCATCAAAATTGCCAAGCTGTAAAATGCAAGCAAAACCAAATCCCTGACTTCAAAAAGCACACACTCAGTGTCTGCAAACCCTACTTTCAACCCTTAACCATGACGTTTCCTTTAACCACTCCTGTCCACACTGATTCCCTCTTCCCTAAAGCCCTATGGCACTTAGGCTGAGTCCCACAATTAACACTCAATGATACACTGTCATATTCACATTGTTTTGATTTTTATCCTTTTCCCCTACATTAGTTTGGCCCTTGAACTCAAGGAAATTAAAATGATGTATACTTTGTATAATTCCACAAACCTAAAACATGGCAAACACAACAGACTTGTTACATCCTTTCCATGCATTCTTCAAAGGAGCCAACTTTCTCATAGCAGATAGTAAGTGCTGCTGGTCCCTTGAAGCAAGGCTTCCTGCATGCTAACAGGACTCTACATCTACCCAGCATTTCACTCAGCATTCATTTTGAGGAGGTCCACTGCCTAGGAGAAAGTTCTCTCAATCATCATATCTATCATTCATCAGCAGTGGCAGATACTGTTTGGAAAAGCTACAAGTTATAAAGTTTTTCCTTGCTTATGTACACCTCCAAAATAACTATAATTACTCTTCTTAAATCATATTCAAATCTTCCACTCCTCTAACGATGATTTGAATCTGTAGAGTTCAGAGTGCTAATGTAATTGTGCCAAGGAAAGACATTAACTGTGAAAAACACGGATGTGAAACCAGCCTTTAGAAAATCACTAGATTCTTTTCCTTGGAGGAGCACTGAGACTCAAGAAGGAAGCTTCTGTGGTAAGCCAAATTTAATCAAATTACTTTGTTACCTCCACACCACCCCACCACTGCCCAAGAATTTGAGAAACACAGCAATACATGTGGAGACCATCCAGTCTACCACAATCAAGATAAGAAGACAGAACTACCCCAAGGACAAGTCTACCAGCACGTGGGGTATATGAATCATAGTCCTCTTCACAGAAACTCAAAAGGTCACCAATGTGCCAGAATTAGTCCAGATAATATTGCCAATATTAGGGCTAAATGAAATTTAGTAAGATCCTATTTACTCTGTCATAGCCATTTGGCAGTTTTCAGAAAGGGCCGGAGAAAGGAGTTAAAACCTACTGAATTGACCAACTATGTGTCAAGTGCCTTACCTATGTTGTCTCATTTAATTTATGTCAAGAAAGGGGTTTTGGATCTAGTACACAACAGAACCAGAGTTCCTCCTTCCTGAGGGCATCAGAGAAAGAGACCTTTTAGCGCAGCGGTTCTCAACGTTCCTAATGCCGCGACCCCTTAATACAGTTCCTCATGTTGTGGTGACCCCCAACCATAAAATTATTTTCGTTGCTGCTCTATAACTGTAATTTTGCTACTGTTATGAATCGTAATCTAAGTATCTTTTTGTTTTCCGATGGTCTTAGGCGACCCCTGTGAAAGGGTTGTTCGACCCCCAAAGGGGTCGCGACCCACAGGTTGAGAACCGCTGTTTTAGAAAGTCTTTAGCTACTGCTCCAATGAGGGCAACTGTGTTTTTGGTGTATCTGTTGACAGCCAATGACTGACAAAAAGAAATCCTAGGCAAAAGAGGATTTTAGTCCTGGTGAAAATGCTGACATCCACCGCAAGGGACATACATTGCCCAAGAGTTAGAGGATGTGTCTGATAGCTCTTCTTTGTGGTATATAGTAATTGCCTTCATTCCCACAACTGCACAATTAGACAGTAAGTCCCTGCAAACAGCTGCTCTAGTTCACAGACCACAAATTAAAAAGAAATGGCTCAACTGACTACAAAGATGACCCCCTCTGATGGGCAAAAGATAGTGGTGAGAGGTCCTTAAAATATAACAGAGGGAATTAGAAGTGCCTTATTTCTGAGGACATAGGCATTCTTTTTCTTTTTCTTTTTTTTTTAAAGATTTTATTGGGGAACTGGGGAAGGGGACCAGCCAAGTTGTTGTTCTTCAATCTTCGTTGTGGAGGGCGACAATTGCCATCTGGCTTCCTGTCAGCAGCTCGTGGACTCTAAGCTCAAGGTGCTGTATTCAATCTTAGTTGTGGGTGGGCATAGCCAACATCCCACATGGGAGTTGAACCCGGCAGCCTTGTTGTTAAGAGCGCACGCTCTATCCACTGAGCCATCCGGGCGGCAGCTCAGCTCAAGGTGCCAAGTTCAGTCTTAGTTGCAGGCGGGCACAGCCCACCATTGAACAGGCAATCTTGCTGTTACACCAGCTGAGCCATTCTGTGGCAGCTCAGCGACAGCTCAGCTCAGGCGCAGCGTCACTGGCCCATGTGGGAATCGAACTCAGCGACCCCGTTGCTCAGAGCCCGCGCTCCTAAGCCAACTCTTAAGCAACTGAGCCACTCTGCTGGCCCCAGCATTCTTTTTTAAAGAATTCAAACAAGACTATGCTTCTTTACAATTTGGCAACTGTCTTCCAAATAATATCATCTTACATTTGTACTACATTTATATAGCAATTCCACATGTATTAACTAATTAAATACTCCATAACAATTTAGTAGGTAGTGTGGTACTCTGCTCAGCTATTAAGACACTGATTACTAGTGAATTTTATAGGACCACATGGGATTTCAGAATTATGAAGTCCACAATGTGAGGGAGGGATTATGTTGGATGTGAAAAAAATTGGAGAAATGTGCCACCTTCCTGAACTAAATACTGATGCCAAAGGGCCCAAATCCTCTGGAGACAAAGGTTCTCCATTATCTCAAGGGCCTGAAATTAAATGCCTCGAAACCTCTACATGTTCAGTGCTCACTGGTAATTAACCAGGGAATGAGTGGTTCCATTATCCATTTTCTTGTCACAGGCATTAGCCCAGAGACAACTAACAGCTATCTCTAAGCTAAGTTCAAGGGAGCCTAGCCATAGATTGAGAAAAGGGATGGTCTTTGGCCTGTGTCATAACCACTTCTCCTCCTGTCTCAATTTGGTCTGCTTTTGGGGGGTAAGGAGGAGGGGAGTGACGTTGCCACAGACAGTACTGGGAGGAGTCTTTTGGTTAAGAAACAGAATTTAGAGCTGTGTTGTAACCATGTGCGTAAAGAAAGGCTTAGGACAGTGCCAGACTTCCAAAGCAGGAAGTAGCGCAAAGGAAGCGCTGTGGTTTGCTTTCTGCTAAGGATTCCCCTCTTGGGTTAAGCAAAAGGTCAGGAAAGATAACAGCCATTTCCCAGCGTCAACCAAGTCCAAGGATGATGGAAATTCCAGGAGGTATAAGGATTCTAAAATGCTATTCAACAGTGATGTCCACAACATTCTATATTTAAACTCACAGTAATACCTCCTGTTCTAGAGAACAAACTAGGTCTGATGTCTAATCAGGTAACCTGTTATTTAACATATACCACCTAATGATAACCATCACATTGGGGGGAAAAGTTACAACAGGTAAAATTTCACATAGTAGGACTTCAATGAATGCTTACTTAGAGAACAGTCTGAAATTGAGGATACAGCAGCAGTTATCAAAACCTGAAAATTATCTTACCTATTCTTCCTCCTCATAATAACTACAACATTTTCCTTAGTGTTTTATACCTTACAACGCCACTTTAACATACGTTACCTTAAATATAATTAAGATTCTTCTAAATCATGAAAGTTTAAAAAGATTTTTTTATTTCTCTTAAGTTCATCAACTAAAGAGGCTCTCAATGCTTTATTTCTTTTAATTAAACGACCCTTGAGACAGAAACAAGTAAATCAAAGTCTCTTAACAGAGCTGTCTCATTTGCAGCTGTATCACTTGCTCCTGTTTACTGCCTACAAATAACTCAACCTAGTTTTGTTCACTTGAGCACCTGAACTAGGACAATGAGGGAAGACCTGGATATAATGGGACTACTACTTCCTGTGGCAGAATTAGCCAGTCACTTCCAATCTTCTTCCATGTTAAAGGATATTCCCTTCCAAGTCCTGACAAAAGATAAAGCAACTTCTGTTCCCATCGGTCCTAGAAAATTCTCTTAAATCACTTAAAACAACATCCTTGCTTATTTGGTTTACATTCTTCAAAAGCCATTTACATTTCCTGTACCCCACCTCTTCTTCATGCCCTCAGGTGCTGCTGTAAAGACTCTGATCTGGGTAAAAATATTCTTATCTTACTGTAAAGATCAATCCACCAGTCTTAAATAGTTCTTGTGGTTTTTCAAAGGTGCTCTTGATTTGAAGAACCACTCTGTGCGGCCCCCCAAGTCTCTCAGATTAGAGATGACAGAGGCTCAGTCCCCTTCCCATTTATTCTATGGAACCCTCATCTCCCTACCCCCCAAATAAATGTCAGTTTTTATTCTCTACAACATGTCCTGTCAGCAAACAATTCTATTCATTATCAAGATCCCTACTCTCTTGCAGTTTTTTTCTTCCATCTTCCTTAAAAGTTTCAAATTATTTTAACGAAAAGCTACTTCTAATTATTTTGTTTCTCAAAGGCAGCACAGTTGTTCAGGTCTAAACAGCACTGAATCTGCGCCCTAGAAATATACAGACCTGTTGGTCTGGGAAAAAAAGCCTTAGGAATTAAAAACCAATCACTTTTCTTAACCTTGGACATTAACATATAAATGAATTCCAGCTTTGAAAGATTATAAATATATAACTGGTTTCTGTCTCAAGAGTGCTTAATGGTAAATATGCTCCAGTGTTTTATCACACCAACGTTTCTATGGGACAGCTGGGTTTAGTCATTTGGCTGACAGCACAGCCAGAATTATTGTTCAAGGCTGTTAATACAAATTTTTGTATCAATTAAATTTTAACTGGTTGTCACATGACTGCTGAGAAAACCACAGCCTTCTGGGCAAAGCACAGCCTGCTGGCCTTACTAGGTCACGGAGCCCTCACAGCACAGAACGCTACTGCCTCCTCTGTTACAGCAGGACGTACCTCTTCGTAATTTTTCGCCTCCACTCCATGCTTCATGTCTAGGATCACGAGTTGGTCAGGTATCCGCCCTGTTCCTGAGAAAAAAAAAAAAAAATCAAAGGATTCATTGTGCGGAATTATTTAAAATTCCGGGAAATCACCCACCCACCCTCCTTCTCCCGAACCCCTCCCCTCTCAATAGAGGGAAATAGCCGCAACTCCTCCCCCTCCTCAGCTGCAGAGATTCCTGGCTCTGGCTAAAATTGCAAGCATTCCGGACAAAGCCTCTGTCTGTGTGGGGAGCCGGAAAGCAGAGAGAACATGCTGCTGGCAAACATCTCCAAGCAGCGGACACGAGATACTGCAGCTGGAACTACAGAGGAATCAAATAGGCTTCTTGGAATAGGAAATAAAACTCCCAAGTCAACACTATGGTGTGAAACGGATTGGCACACAGACCAGTAGATAGTGGGCACCAACTGAGGCTAAAACTACATTTCTACGTCTGAAAAGATTGTCCTGTCAAATTCTGAGAAAAGGATTACTGGGCATATACAAAGCTTGGATTTACTTAATACAAACATGAGTTGCTGAAAAGAACACAAGATTTATCTAACATTCCACTTTAATTCAAACATTTTGGTCAATGTAAGGCCATTTCAATAGGTAAATAAAATGTTATAGGACAATTCACACACTACCCTTTAAAAGAGAACCGTCCAAGAAAAAACTTGACAATAAAAGTACAACTCTCAGGGATGCTTCTTACAAAGAGAAATGTCTATTTGGAGTAGTAGGGCCAAAAGAGCAATGTTCGTACTAGGAAAGGTAATCTGATTCAGCTTTATCAAAAAGGAATTCGAATCTTAAATCATCAACTAGGAGAAAGGGAAAGATGCAAAGAGCCCCAGAAAATTGCTCAGCCCCAATCCCCTGGAACGCACCTGAGTATTTAGAAATAAAAACTGAATGAAATTAGGAGTTTTGGGAAACGGTGCCACTTAAGCATTGGGGTTCCTGAGACCACAGGCCCCAGAGAATGGTATGGTACCCTCTGCTGCCTGAGAGATGCTGGAGGTTTTCTGAAATTCACTGAAGTCAATAACTACTCATTGAGAAATCACTGGCTTCTAGAACTGTGCTGAAAATTATAATTTCTACTTCAAGTGGGGATTAAGACATAAAGATGCGTAACAGCTATAGTGAAAATGCAAAGCAGTATAAAACTTTAAGAAAAAAAACTGTGCAGCTAATCTCAGCTATGGAGCAAAGGTTAGAGGAGGGAAGAGATTAATTGTGGACTCCACTAAAGAGGGAGCACTTAATGTTGAATAACTTTTGTGTACCCCTGAAACTAATATAATATTGTACGATAGCTGTATTTTAATGAAAATCTTTTATAAAAGATCAAAAAAAGAGGAAGCATTGAAGTCAGGACAAAGTATTCTAGGCAGAAGACCAGCATGGGCAAAGGCTCAGATATGGCACATTTAAAAGTCAGTAAAGAAATTCTTCTGGATAGACTAGAAAGATCAATTTGAAAGCAATAGAAATGAGACTGAATAGGTAGGATTACGAAACCATGACAAGTCACAGATGCCTTCTGAGCATTAAACTAGTAACTCTCCAAAACCAAACCAAACAAAAAAAGTGGCACCCAAATCCAATATGTAATCCTGATCACAGCACTGCCCGTAAGAGATGCAGTGCAAATTTTTGCTTCTCCTTCCTCATTTAAAAAGTTGTGAAATCCCAGCAGCTCACAGCCCTACCTGGTCCAAATGATCAAGATATTCTCTTCCCAAGAGACTCTTTCTACTTTCTCTCTGATTGCCACAGCATAGCATTAGCATTATTCAAACACAAGTGAAACCACAAAACCACACACCTCTGGCTGGTCTGAGTCCAGACCGTACCTTCGCTTGCATAGAACAGCCAGCCTATCCCCTTAACTGCCACCATGGCCATTAGGGTCTCCTTTGTAAAAAAAAAAACAAAACACTTCAGTAATTTCTCTCTGCATTTGCCTGAGAAAAAGAGAATCTTTTAAAAGGTGCTCCCAAGACTACAAGGTTATCAGGTCCCCGTGTCAGAATGAGCAGAGAACACCAATGAAACCAGAAATTGAGTGCTGAGTGCTTGCTATAATATGTGTGTGTGTGTGTGTGTGTATGTGTGTACATTTATACATACATACTTTTAAAAATTAGTTCTTAAGCATCTACATGCACAGCATCAGCATGTAAGAAATTCAGAACAAAAGATGTGTTTAGGGTTATGTCTAGATTTAGCATTAGGATTAGGGTAAGATTTAGCATTAGGATTAGAATTAGGGTAGATTAATGGCTAGGTTTTAGGTTAGGGTATGGTTAATTTTAAACTCTTCAAAAAGTGTCAAATTGGGAATGTAAGATGTTGTACATGAGACATTTAAATAACACAAGGCTGTGTGTGATATACAGAGGGTGCCAAAAAAATGTATACATATTTTAAGAAAGGAAAAATCTGTATTAAAATTGTAATACAATGAATGACGCTACTAGCATTCATTTGATTAATGCCATCTTTTCAGCAAACGTCATACTACACATTGCTACCGTAATTCAACTTTGAAAAGTAATACATCGATAACATCTCTTAAAATGTGTACTTTTTTTGGCACCTGCGGTATATACTCAAATGCCTAAATAACTAATCCAATCAGTAAGTGATGTACTATTTAAAGGAAGCCACATTAACCTCCTTGCTGTTTCTGAGACATGCTCAGCAACTCAAAGTGTTTGCTTTTTGTCCAAAGCCCTCATCAGCACCTGACTGTTTGCTCCAATGAAAATGTAAGCTCCATGAGAACAGAGACTTCTGTTTTATTCACTGCTATATCCTCAACACCTATAACAGGGATTGGTATATAAGGGCACTTAGTAAATATCTACTGAATGAACCAATTAAGAAACTAAGAGGCTAGGTTGTTGAGGGAGGTACTCTTAAAGAACTAAAGGTCAACTCATATGTATATGGGAAGACAGCATTCCAGCAAACGAATAAATGTGACATGTTTAGAGGGCAGAGCAAACCAGACTGGCTGGGGCCTGATGAGTAGTAAAAGATAAGTCTGGAGTAAGCGTATTAAAAAAAAAAAAGACTCTTAAATGCCATGATACCTAAAATCTCTTCCAGCTCAAAAATTTGATGATTCAAGGTTTTGTTCTATAGAACAGGAACATTACTGCCACTACAGAGAAGGGAAAGCTTTTGAAAAAGGACTGACATAGTGAAAGATGTTTTAGGAGATGAATCTGGTAGCAGTATTTGGATATATTAAGAACAGGGCTCTCCAGCGTGAGCGGCCAGCAGTCACAGTGAGCAGCTGTCCAGAAGCTGGCGACTGATCTGCCTCGCCCGGGAAGAGCGCAATGATGGTGCCAACTTAGGCCAGTGAAGCAACATCCTCCACAACTAGACTGAAGAACAAAACGACAGCAACTTGTCTGTTCCCCTTCCCCCAATTCCCCAGCGCTGTTCCCATCCCCCCAATTCCCCAATAAATATCTTTAAAAAAAACACACACACAAAAAACAGGGATCTCAGAGGCCAATGACATAACTCATAACTTAAAAAATTATAAGAGCTCAGATTTGTGTGGTGACAGACACAGAAGATATTTTGAAAGAAGTATTAGCATACTTTGATGACAGGCTGGAAAAGACTAAAATCATTTAAAAATGCGAGCCCGAGTAACTGGAAGGATGGTGGTGATATCCATAGAAGGGAACTCATCTGAAGGAGGAGCTCAGAAATTGTCTTAGTCATCTCGGTTTGGATGTAAGAGCGGCCACAACCATGTGAAAATGTCTAGAATATGGTTGAGACATCTTGGAACTGGCAGGAGTGGGGGCAGGGAGAAGGATATCAGTCATGAAATCATATTAAAGTCCTTTAATTTTCTATTATTAATCTATTATTCCATTTCTTTCAGGCAAACTCCCTTAGCTTTTAGGTTAACTGACCCACTTTAGATCAAGGGAGTCAATTCTTGGTTAATTGTCAAAAGCAACAAGTTGATCTGCTATTCCTGGGACTCTACTGGTGCTGATGGCAACAGTGCTTGCTCTTCTAGGATCATATGTTCTAAACATTCTATAAATGCAAAATCGCCAGAAGTCGTTTGTTACCATGCTGGAAAAGCCTGAGAATAAAGTCAAATAGAGGCAAGGAAAAGAAGCACTAAAGGATAGGTAGGGTTCTAACAACGCTGTTAAAACCCCAACATTCAGCTGTGCCTGAGGTCAGTACCATATTGAAGACGTCCGGTTCGGAGAGTCAAATGGTCTTTCTCTTCATTCTCTTTAAGCTAGTTTGAATTATGTGTTTGTGTCTTGTAGCCCATAGGGCTCCCAACTAATACTGTTAAGTATAAATGCATACAGCTTTTAAAGTCTAGTGTCCTTGGAGCTAAAGAACAGGGAGTAAAAGGGAATCTGCTTTTTCCCCCATCACTGAGCACAGAAGCCATCAGGTAGGTAATCGGCCTAAAAGTTACTATAGGATCTTGGCCTTGAGATGCACAGAAGAATCCATAGCAAGATGTCAGGATTATGAAATAACAAGTGCTCTGGGCTGGCTGAGTGGCTCAGTTGGTTAAGAGCTCGCTCAAGAGTTTGAGCTCTGAGCAACAGCGGTTCGAGTCAGCCCGAGCTGAGCAGCCGTGAGCTGCCAACAGGTGGCGGGATGGCTTAGCTAAAAAAAACAAACAAAAAAAAAACAAGTGCTCTGAAGACCAAAACTATTTCTGACTTTGCAATATATTGTTTGTCAGAGAGATCCTACTTCTAATCTTTGAGAAAACGTGTCACTAGCATATAAATGCACTACCAAAGGCCATCAAATAATGTTTCATTCAACCTCGTTTTGTTATTAATGTTAATGAGATGCTGTAGGTTGGTTTCATTATACATCGATTTTGCTTAAAGCTGTGAAGATTTCAACGACATTGAGGACTTACTGTATTTTCTAGCATCTATACCAAATTAAACTCAATCATTCAAGCCAAGGGTGTCATAGCATTCAAGAAATGCCCATTCCTGCACAGGAAAAACGCTACTTTCACTTTTATGTGTCTGCACCCCAGCAAATGTAGTTTTCATCTTGTCTTCCTGCCAACCCAAAACAGAAAGTTCATGCTCTAATTAAGTTAAAAGAAGATGCTTAATTCAGGGAAAAGTCTCATTACTTACCCTTACTCTCAAAACACACTTCGAACATGTCATAATCTTCAGTGGTAAAGGCGAATTTCCCCTTGGTTGCATCCTCCTTGGAGTATAGAATATGGCCAGCCGAATCTGTGATCTAAAATAAAAAGTAAGTGTGAACAGGCAGCAAATAACACTTGGGAAAAAACTTGGAGAAATGGAAAGAAATACTGTCTATAAAAGACAGCTAACATTTCTCATTATGACGACTATGTTCCAACCATTCCCAAAGACAGTTATTGGATTAGAAGAGGAAATCCAAATACAGCAAATTTCATTCATTCAAACTGACTAGTCACACTGCAGGCTAAAATCTGTTGCCACTATAGGATGACAGTTCAGATATAAATTGGGTTTAGTAACAAAGTTTTGCTTTATAGAATGTAGATCAGTATCATTCCCTAGAAAGGGACATGTCACAAAAATAGAAGTGGACAATTACCAAAGAATGTACTACAAAAATGAGAAAAATATATAAGAACACATTTCTTCTGTAAAATAAATCTTGATGGGGTTGAGGTGGGGGTGGAGAGTAGAAAGGGGACACCTGATACTAGGAGAGAAGGAAAAAAAGGCATGCATAGAGAAGAAAATCTGGTAGATTTATTCCCGCAAATGTCATGTTATTATGTCAATGGCTACACGGGGTGAGAGACGGGGGTAAATAAGAAGTTCTCCTAAAAAAGACATCCTTGGCTTCCCCAAATGATCATTCCTTTCTTCTAGGTTGTTAGCTTTAGTTCTCCAAACTTAAACTGCTCCAATCCTAGAGAATGGCCTGTAAGCACAGAGGAAGTGGCATATATGTGTAGCGAAGGGCCACCTGTACAGAAGGGAACGACAGGGTGATATGACAGACTGGCCCTCAGGCTTCTTTACTAGAGCACATGGCTGTCTTAGCAGAAGGCACGTGTCATGACCTGAGACAGGAAGCTACTTGGAAGGAGGAATACAGAAGTAGTGGCTTCATTATATTATATTAAACCAAATGTTCTAATGCTGTTTGTAAAACAAGATCCATTTATAGGTGATACTTTAAATATGAAAATTGAGTAGCACACACATAAGCTTATACATTTAAAGTACTTTAGTAACACTAGTTATTGCTGAGTAGTGAGAATCCTTCTTCATACTTCTGTTTTCTTTTGATTTTCTACAAAGGCATGTATCACGTATGGTTAGAAACAGTTATTTCATTTTTAGGAAAAACACAATAACTAAAGAATAATCAATAAAATGGGTTTATTAAGCCATTTTAAATAATAGGTTAATAAAAAAGATTTTAGGACATCTTCTAAATTCCCTAAAAACAATAGCAGTAGCTTTGAGTATCTTCTGCCATGAATGATGTTGATTACCCATTACTTTGACAAGTTAGTTAAGATGCCTAGATCTGCGCTGGTCACTGGGGATAAAAGAATGTGTAAGATGGTTCCTATGTGCAAAGGGCTTAACAGTCTAAATGAGGAATGGAATAAAAACTGAGACTTCACTGCACTGTGAAAAGATGCACAGCTTTCCCTGGGTTGTGGAGGGTCATGGAGGAGGTGCCAACATGAGCTAAGTCCTCAAGGATGAGCTGCAATCAACAAGATTGGGGTAGAGCTGGCCAAGTGGTGCATTGGTTAGGAGTTGGCTTGGGACGCCAGCTCTGAGAAGCAGGGTCCCAGTTCAGATCCCACATTAGGGCCAGTGATGCTGCGCCCTCTACAGCTAAGATGGTGAACAACAGCTCGACCTGGAGCTGGGCTGCCGTGAGTGTGGCAGGCAATCGCGTAAGCTGCAGTGGGCTGCTGTGAGCTACCGTGAGTGGCCAGCAGCCAGCGTGAGCAGCCAGCAGCTGGCAAGAGCTACCTTGAGCGGCCATCCAATGGCTGGTGACCAATCTGCCTCAGCCAGGAAGAGCACAATGATCATAATACCAACATGGGCCAGTGAAGTGACGTCCTCCACAACTAGACTGAAGAACCAACGGACAGCAACGTGTCTGTTCTGTTCCCCTTCCCTGATTCCCCAACGCTGTTCCCCTCCTCTAATTCCCCAATAAAATGTTAAAAAAAAAAAATTCAGGGCCAGCCAAGTGGCGCGATGGTTAAGAACTGGCTTGGGACGCCAGAGGGCCCCAGTTCGGATCCCACATATGAGGGCCAGTGACACTGCCCTCCACAGCTAAGATGCTGAACAACAGCTCAACCTGGAGCTGGGCTGCGTGAGTCGCCAGCGACGGCGCAGGCTGCAGCCCCTGTGGCAGCGGGTTGCCATGGGCTACCGTATGTAGCCAGCAGCCGCAGTGAGCGGCCGTCCAGAAGCCAGCGACTGATCTGCCTCGCCCGGGAAGAGCACAATGATGGTGCCAAATTGGGCCAGTGAAACAACGTCCTCCACAACTAGACTGAAGAACAAAAGGACAGCAACTTGTCTGTTCCCCTTCCCCCAATTCCCCACCGTTGTTCCCATCCCCCCAATTCCCCAATAAAAATATTTAAAAAAAAAAATTTCATTCTAGGGCAAAGACTCAAATGCTTTCCAAGAGGCTGAAAGGCAAAGAACCCATCGCTCCGTGTACCTTTCATCAGCATGAAATTTACCTCCCAGAAACAGTGTATGATAATAATCGCAATTCCCTCAGGGCCTCCACATTTCTATACTCCGTATGAGTTGACAGAAGTATATAGGGTATTTATCCAGATAGTTGGAAATCCATGCAGACAACCTGACAACTTAACCTTCAGGTAGGCTCTTATGGACTGTTGGGCATTCTAACAGAGTCTATAATGTTTTTGAAAACCAGTAGGTTTCCCATGTAGTTCATAACTTTGCAGCTACTTAGGAGACAAACCACTGATTTTAAGGGGGAAAAAATCTTATGCCTTAACCTCAACATAATTACATAAGTCAGCAGGTAGCTAAAATTAGGGAACAGAAAACTGGGCCAAGCTCAGTGACTAGCCAAAGCTGGCAAAGTTGAATCGGCTGAAAGGACGGTTTTAAATTTCCTTTAATTAAAATGTTCTGATTATAGATCACCTTAAAAGATCATGTGGTTTCTCAAGAATTGAGAGATTTTATTTTTCTTCCTTAAATTCTACTCGAGAACCATCTAGGTAACGTGATAAATAACTGCCACTTTTATCTATTATAACATCAAGCCCTTAAAGGATTCCTTTCTTTGCTTTTAGCAATAAAAAACACTTACAATATTTACTTTAAAGTTCTTAATTAAACAAGGGTAATACTGAAGCCATAAAATTTGCCCATATGACATCAAGGAATGGGAAGTAATAAAGATTTGTTTCTAGATAACACCTTCTGAAGAAAAGCTAACCAAAGTTCAAAACTTAAAAAGCAGGGGAAAAGTGTTAATTGTATGTGCAGAGTAGCTGATGTCAAGAATATGTAAATACACTGAAACTGCCAAATAAGTGAGAATACAGGTCACTGGGAAAATAACTCATTTAGAATTGGATTTTCTTGGACCATTCTAGACAGTGCCCAGAAAACAGGTTCTAGAGCAGGTCCTGCCCTGAAGCCTGCCCCATTCCTTTCCCAAACATTCAGGATAATACCCTGCCTACTTTAAAAGGATTTTAAATAGCGTGCACCCAAACACTAGGCAAATAAAGTAATTAGGGATGAAAGAGAATAAAGTTCTCCTGAAGGAAGAAACAAATAGGTGCTATCAAGAACCTGAATTGAGCAAATGATATCTGCACAATAAATGTGACTCTAAGTTTTCTGGAAGCCAAGATTAAAAGACTAAGAGAGAAACAAGTTGGGTCACGTATCATTTGTTTTCTGATGAAAGCTCACAAATTTATCTTCAGAGATAATTTTCCTGGAACTAAACATGAAGAACAATTTATCAGGAAGGTCCTTGTAAAAGGGCTGTGACCAATACCAGACTCTCCATTTTCAACCATGGCCTTGCTAAAGATGTAAATACAGTTCAAATGGGTGCTTTTGGTGCCCCTCCACACCTGAGGTGCCTGACCTGATGCAGAGGTGGGACCTGAAGGAACTAGATGAATGGCCCCAGGCCCTGGTTCTCTGCCCTTTAGCACTACCACTTCTCACGGCATCTAGCTTCTTTTGCTGCTCACAGAAGTCCCAGCCTTACTGTAAAGGTGCAAGAAGGCTAGGGCTACTTTTGGCCACTTGCTGCCACTACAAGTGTGCCTTAAAAAAAAAAAAAAAAGTGCCAGGAAAAGATGTCTTAAAAATAATACTATTCACCCAGATCTTGATTCCTAATATCATTCTTCAATAAAAGGGATCAGGTCTCCTTGGAGAAACGGCTGATCTCAGGACTGAGCCAGAAACATACAAGATGAGACTGCAGCATCTTGTAGTGCTAAAAAGTAAGGAATGGTTCAAAATACAAAACAAAATAAAAACCAAGATTGGGAACATGTCAAAGGGACACAAGAGCCAACTGAAAGAGCTCCCAATAGCCAAAGCTAAAACAATTTGAGCAACAAAATATAGTATTGAATTGTAATCCAAAGTATAAAATAAATATCCATGAATCCATACTGATATAAATTAAACAAACTAACTAACTAACAAACTAGGGAGAAGAGACAAATCTTCTGTGCAGAAGACTCAAACCATTTATGTAGAAACAGCATCCTCAAGAAAGTATAACTCCCCACTCCTTATGTATGGGCTGCACATAGTGACTTCCTTCCAGAGAGCACAGTACGGAAAGGGGAGAAACAGGACCCTGGCAGTGGAGAAACCTGCTAAACACTACCTCAGCCAGATGATCAAGGTCAACATCAACAGTAATCAATCATGTTGGTAGCATGCTCCCTTGATATGATGTGATGAAAAGGACATTTTACTTCTGTAGTCTTCCTCCCCCAAACCCACAATCTCAGTTTTATCATGAGGAAAACATCAGCTAATTCCCAATAGAGGGGCATCCTATAAAGTACTTGACCAGTACTCCTCTAAACTCACAAAGTTGCCAAAAGCAATTAGGTCTGAGAAACTGTCATAATCTAAGAGCCCGAAGAGATATGACTAAATGTAACATATTCCAGGATGGGATCTTGGAATAGGAAAAAGGACATTAGGCCAAAGCTAAGGAAATCT